CCTCAAGGCCCGGCCCCCGCGCCCTCAAGGGCCTTCAGCAGCAGGTTTAGGTGGCGTCCATCATAGGGATGGCAGGTGGAGCTGATCCTGGCTGGGAGAGGGAGAAGAAGGACTAAGTGACCTCCTCTGCCCTACATGACAGCGGCATCGCTGTCGCTCCTGATGTCTAGATCTCAGAGCCAGGAGCTGCGGCACGGGGGCAAGGCGACTCCTTCCAAGGAGCTCCCTGTCCAGGGGAGGCTCATGGTGCGGTGGCACCAGCCAGTGCCGCTGGGATGGCGGCAAGCTCTTCCTCACAGGAGCCCAGCACGGCGAGCCCCACACTGCAGTGGGCATGTACAGGCAGGCTATCACCACCCTGTGACAGGGTTACTACAGCCTATAAGCAACAACACAGCCTGCATATTTTTACCCTCAGGCTTTGCAGGTCCCCAGATTTCATGTTTCCTTGTTATTTTTTTTTTGCAAAGATTTTCTACCGCTCCGAGGCTGCATTCCCGAAACAGTGTCACCACCCAAGCCCAGCAGATCCAGGCACCTCACCACCTGGACTGACCTGCAGGACTGGGGTGCGGATGCCTGACATCTTTCTTCATCTTAATTCCTCCAGATTCACAGCGCTATGGCATTTCCAAGGTGAATATGTCTCTGGAGGTCACCAGTTTGCTTTAAGAAAAACTGCATCCAGATTAACCTTCACAGAACCTGGGTGTCTCCAAAGACAAGATGTAAATGGAGGAAAGGCACCTTCCTCCTCTCCTTCTTAAAATCTCTCATGCTGAGAACTCAGCACCTGAAAAGGTCAAGGGAAGCCCTCCCGTCCCCCCTCCTGCAGCCTCAGCTGTTGCCTGCGCTTGACAGAGGCCATGTCTGCCATGGCTGGGCAGCAAGGGGCCGACCCTGGTGCTCCCACGGCTGCACAGTAAAGGCAGCTCACTGGGGCCTGTAGCCAGAGGAACAAACACTCCCGGCCCCGTGGGGGAATGTGGGCTGACCCCAGCTCAACCCCAGCACCCAGTGCAGTTGCAAGACACTGTGGCAAGCTCTGACGTGAGCTGAATTTGGCTCTGCTCACCCAGAGCCATCACCAACAACCTGCACGTCCTTGAAAAGGAACAGGGCTGTTCAGATAAACTTAGTGCAGCAAAGAGGAGAGATTCAGAGACGGGGATCTTAAGGGACTTGCACTTTACTCAGTAACTCAATGACACCTTCCTTGGTGAGGAACAAAACCTTGCCAGCATTCTGATTCCAGACCTCGAAGACCGGGGGGTCCTCACAAACCCTCTTCCCGGCTACAACCACGTAGGGATAACCCAGCTTGCTGGCATCCTTTAGCCTTTTGCCGATGGTCAGCTGCGTCCTGTCATCCAGCACTGAGTCGCCAGCCAGGTGGGGCAGCGCTTCAGCAAGGTCATCGTACACCCTCTCCAGCAGGGCATCTCCCTCCCCCTCCTCCTCCCTGCTGCCTCTCTTTGGGGGGATGAAGCAGAGCTGGTAGGGAGCGATGAGGCTCGGCCAACGGATGCTGTCCTCTGTAGAGAGCACCTCAATGGAGGCTGCCAGGATACGAGTGACACCCAGGCCGTAGCAACCCATTTCTGCCAGCTGAGGTTTGTTCTCAGGGGAGTAGAAGACTGCATTGGAGACAGAGGAATACTTGGTACCCAGATAAAATGTGTGCCCCACTTCGATCCCTTTGGTCTGGATGAGTTTTTCCCCGCATGTGGGGCAAGACTTTTGCTCCCCGCTTAACGTTTCCACGTTGGCCGCAAAATGTCCATCACGGC